TCTCGTATTTCCAACGTGTGTTTAACTAAACGGAGGGATCGATATACACATTGAACGTAGCTTTAGAATGTCTCCTGTCATTATCTTCTTTATTATTTATTGGGCATGTTAAAGTTCCCGCTGGGTACCAGTGAAGGACTATATCCACAGTGTAAAGCTGGGAAATATACATAGGGTAGTATATGTAATTATTCACTCTGAAAGAAAAAATTCGTTTGAATATTTATTTTGACTGATTAGTTTTTGCAAATGATCTATCATTAAGTTAAAAAAATTGCCCATTTAAGATAATACAAAATTTAAATGGAATTCTTTAGGTATTTGTATTTGGTTGAATATAGGATTTAATGTAAATATGAAATTACCTTGTTCGATATTTCAGTTAAATATAAAGTATATATATACATTCTCCTCGCAGTAGAATTTTGCAAATTCTCAACCCTCTTTTCTTAACACGTTTCGCATTATCTGGGTCACCGGTGACCCATCATGGCTACCAAAGATAGAACTTTCATTGAGCAAAGATACCTTTTTACTCACCTAGGTAGAATACTCATAAAAAATCAGGTTACCTAAAATTTAACCACCACTATTTTTTGTTAATTTTCCCTTGGGTCTTTACTATTGGAATTTCATTCATCTATTAAAAGAAAAGAAAAAATCATAACCTATTACAGTTTCACATCCAATGTAAAAATTACGTATAACCTACAATTATCATAAATAGACTGATGCCAATCTAGTAATACCATAACCAATAAATAAAACAAAATTTTGGAATATGTACATCCAAAATATATACTTTATGATTTAATTCCAACCATGATCAAATAGAATTAGATTCTTCATTTCCTGAAACTGCTTTCTCCTACAAGAAAAATGATACGTAACATTTATACGATACCGAAATTGCAGTTAAACTATAATAAATATATTCCTCGGAATAAACGTGTTACCATTTCCCATTTATGCACGAAATCCATCCTGGCACGTTTCAAATCTATCCTTTAAACCTCCCTTCATCTGTCTCCAAATCCCGCGTTTCCAAATTGCACAGAATGATATACACGTTGGAGCACACACAAAAGCTTTTCGTGCGACGGATGCGCACGGCCATCTATCGGCAGTTTCCAATCGTTTCACGGTCCGGAATGGCGGATTCAGTCGAAAACGTGGCGGTGCAGTCGGCGTTTGGCGTTGCGTGCGATAGACGGGTCGCGCGAAACGGTTGAAGGCACGATTGCGACGACCGCGTGGCTCGACCGAGCGGTATCGTTGCTGGATCAATAGCACGTGATCGCGCCGGCACCTCTGTACCGGCTCGGCCGATATAAACAAAGAAACGTGGCGCGCAGCGTACGCGGCGGCTGCCGCGCATCGATTTTCCCTTCTGCACGGGGCTTCGCGCGGTACCTGCGATTCACGCTACGCCGCGCTCGCCGACGGACCGTAAGACGTCGTTAGAGGACGTCTGAAATCCTCCACGAGATATTTTGGCATGTGACGAAGTCTCGAGATATAGAATATAAAATTATTCTCGGCGGAATCGCGCTCAAATATTCCTGTTTCTTTCGAATGTAGGTTATGTGTCTTAAGCAGGGATTTAATACCGCTGTTGTAGCAGTGGAACTATGGAGAAATCGACTATGACTGGAATATCGATATTATTTACGTTTTATACTGAAATCGATTATGATCGACTTATCAATGTCAGTATAGTATTTAAACGATATATTAGGTGGAAATGAAATAAATATCGATATTATTTATGTTTTATACTGAAATCGATTATGATCGACTTATCGATGCCAGTGCAGTATTTAAACGATATATTATGAAGAAACGAAATAAATATCGATATTATTTCGATTATATACGGAGATCGATTATGATCGAAATATAAATGTTAGTATAGTATTTAAGCTAGAAATAAATGCCGGCGTTGATTTGGTACTCTATCGAACTTGAGAACCGGTCTTCAATTATTTTATTTTTTCCTCTATTTAATCCATAATTCATACTAGCTTTTCTAACCCTACTTTACGACAGGAACATATACAACGCCGAACGAATTTACAACTCATTATTCTAAATGACACGCAATAATAACGATATGTGGGAAAACGAGTTTCAACATGGTGATAAATCTTTTTAAAGCAGGCAGTTCACACCTCGAACCCTATCTCCGTAAAGCCTCTGAATTGACGTACAGTAGTTGCTAAATCTGACACTCTCACTTTAACGCCATTATCCTAACTAATCTCCTAATGCCGTTTTCGTAAATTCAACATTTCTTTCTTCTTAGGTCATAACCTAACTTTTAATAAAATCAAGAATAAATACCAATTACTACTATTCAATATTAATAATCATTTCGTGCTAATAATTATTAATAACACACTCGCGTATTTCTTTCGATAAGCACATGACACTGATTTATAAATAAAAAATTGTCAAATCTTCAAAAAATTATTTTATGATATATACCTAAAGTAATGCAATTTTATACTCAATTTCTATTTAGTGATATATATTATATACATTTATTATGCAATGGTATCACACAGTTGTGTCTCCAGAAATAGGTTATGTATGGAAATTATTTTATTATTAACATATACGTAGAAGTAAAGGTGTTCAATTTTCTTACATCCAATTAATAATGTAATTATTAATTAGTTATGCATCTGATAGCTGAAGAATGACACAGAATTTATTCTGATTGCAGGCAAATGCAGCGGTGGTGTTCAAATGCACTTGGCCAGGTTGCCTAGAAATCAAAGCGACCGTGGCGCTTATCGAGGAGCACGTGCGTCAATCACACTTGGGGTAAGTCTAAGCGAATAGTAAGACGCAACAAGTCTCGTGAAAATCCGATGAGCTTTCGTCTATATCTTATCGCGTCTGTTGCACGAACTCGTTCATGCGGCGATTAACCCTCGTCTGATGGATATCGCGCCATTTTGCCCTGCCTGGTGCCGTATGCTAACACGCAGTTATAACACTGGTTTTTGCTGTTGCAATTATTAATTCACCATACACGGTGTTAATCGAGATTTAACACGGGCACGGAATTAATTTTGTCCCATTTTGTAAACTTTTATTTTTGGTCTCAGAATATTTATAGATACATAGCTTCCAATTCGTGTCAATATTAATTAATATTCGAGAGGAATAAAATCATTAAACTGACTCCTCTCAGAAGACGTCATAAATCTAGCAAGTAACCTAGATTAGATAAAATTATGCAAGCATAAAATATTTTTCTAGTAATATCCCAATCCAAATAGTCAAATAAAGCAATTGGTTTCAACATTCCGCCATTTTATTCGGAGAGACTAATTTTCCTAGTGCAAAGATCTAGTAAAATTACGTTAAGGCTTCGAATATTAAAATTCTCCAAAAATACCTAATATATATCGCTACCTTCAATAGACTACCAGTGTCAAAAACATCTCAACACCACTGAGAGCACTCTAACCTAAAACTTTCGACAATCATACGATATTCCTACTTAAAAGCGAATAACACCAGAATTAAAATTTCACCAGAGGCTGGAAAATCTCTAAATCTCACTCTCGATCGTAATCTACACTGTTATACACCAACACCCGCCATGTTCCTATCGTTTCTTAACTCAAAATGGCCCGATATCCACCGCGGCCATGTTATCCCTGGAAACCTTGGTCGTTCGAGCGTTAACCTTGAACCGCGAGATAAGATAAGAGCACTCGACATGCGGGAGACCGTGCACGTTAAATTGAAACGTGTAATTTGCTTTTGCTCACGCGCTAGCACGCGCACGTTTCGCACGCGCTGAGATAGGCGCGTTTAACGAGGATCACGCGCGTTTTTCAGGCCGAAAAAATCGAACGGCTATGATAACGAGGAGGACGACGACATCTCCGACCACGAGGAGGAGTTCTACTATCAGGAGGTGGCGGTGGATCACATGAGCTCGCCGCCGACGATGTCGCACCGTGACATGGCCAGGCCTCCGCACGAGGACCCAGAGTACCAGAAACAGCTCCGCCTGGAGGCCACTCCCGTCATTAATAACACGGAAAACATGATGGTGGGCATCAGAGAGCGGAACACGGCGTTCATTTCCCAATCACCGGTACGTGTCGGTGTCTATAGCTTCGGTCTAGTTTGAACACATTTGCTTCCATGGTATTGGTGTCAGCGATTTGCCGTCTCTGTAACTGATCCTTGAAAAGGGAGATTCATTGTGAGACGCAGAGACGAAGATTATTTTGACACCTTTTAGAACGTTTTTGGCTGAACAGGTTTTGAGGAATTAACGTTGATAGCTGATAAATGGGATTCTCTCTTTTTTCTTGGTTTAGTTTGGGAACTTTGGATTTGTGAAATTTTACAGTTGAATTTATGCTACTGTTCTCTTCCTTTCAAGTTTAACCCATTGTGATTAAATAGAATTTTCATTTATCATCATACGCCATTATAGTGGCTTTCGCGGACGTCATCTTTCTGAACGGTGGCGCCTCGTTTATCGTTTGAATTAAATGATGGTTTTCATATGTTTTGTTTCTCACTGTTTTTGCCTTCGCAACGTTTTATAACAGCGTTAACAATAAACAGACAGAATATACAGTGTTCCTAGGGACCAGCGCTAGACTTTCCGTTCAGGCCTTGCCGGTCCGTACGGCCCAGTAGGGCCCGCATAACGACTAACTTTGGCGTGAACGGAAACGGCGTGGCGTTTAACGTATTAAGCAACTTTCCCTGCAAATAGAATTAAGCTATCAGACTGGAATCTTCGAAACTTGCAAATACTCTAGAAGGAATGTGTTCAAACGAAGCACCGCGTAGAGAATCGGGAAAATGCATTCTAACCTGATCCGTTTGCACGAACAGGGCACACCGATCAAACACATAAAGCTGTCACCGCGGCCGTTCCAGGCGTACCAACAGAACATGGGCCTGCTGACAGTGTCGACGGGGAAGATGCCGTCGTCGCCGCGACGGATCCGCGGCGAGACGAAGAAGTGCCGCAAGGTCTACGGTATGGAGCATCGCGACCTATGGTGCACACAGTGCAAATGGAAGAAGGCCTGCAGTCGTTTCGGCGACTAGGCCAAGCGGCCGCCCCGTTCGTATGTCCGCGGGCGGAGACCGTCGCCGAGTCGACCCCAGAGTTTGCCAATGCTACGTTAAACTTCTCGCCAACTGCCAGCAAACAATTGCCAATTTCCACACATAGTCAGTCAGTCGTAACAGTCAAGTTACAGTCGTCGTCGTCGTCGTCGTCGCCGTCATCGTCATCAATCACTGTGACGTTGTTGTCGCCGCGGCGATGGCGACCACTCGCTCGATACTCGCGCGAACGGAGCGTGTTTCTCTTGTGGGGTTCGTGTTGCATCATGGTCACGGGACAGCGAAGAGTACGCCTGTAATATCGTCCACCATCTTCCAGACCCGTTCGACCTGATCCATAAACAGATTTCGATTAAGAGACACCTTGGACGCTGAGGATCCAGGACATGTCCTTTAGCTCCACGGTGTTCAGCGCGGCCGGTGTCGAGCAGCGAAACAGCTCTTCTTCCTGTTTCATCTTCTCGTTCTTCTTGTGCAACCCGTCGTGCAATCCTCGTTCTTCGCCTAGCATTTGCCATTCGTTGGAAACGGGGCGACGAGGAGCACGGGTCTAAGAGAAACGTCAATCCCATGACGGATGGCGGACGCGGTTAGAAGGGCCGATCACGTGTTTCGCACGAGGCAGGAAAAGAATACGAGAATGTCGAGGAATATCGTCCAACGACTTTGTCTAGACACACGGAGTCTCGTTGTCGAGCAATGGTAGAGCGGAGAAGAAGAGAACCGAGTACGTACATAACGAAAGGGGAAGAAAAAGGGAAAAAATAATAGAAGATCGTTGACCGATCGTCGAACGATTTCTTATCGCTCTCGTCTGGCACTTGGCAAACTCCGTCAGGGTCTTTTTAGCCGTAATAAAGGGTTTTGATTAGTAGATAGCGAATAATTGGCGTACGGGACGAGGTGTCCTTAGACTGTCGCGCCCTCTTTGTCTCTCTCTCCATTCTTTCTCTTCGTTATCTCTCACTCTTCGTCTATCTGTCCTTCTTCCTTCCTGTCTCTCATCGAACAAGAGGGCGCGGAACACGGCCTCGCTTCCGGCTCGCCAGCAACAAGAAGAATTTTAAAAGAATAAAAAGAAAAAAAAAAGAATCTTTCTCTTGGTTCGGTAGGTAAAGAAGAGAGAGGCACGCGACTCGAAAAATCGTATCGACATGTGCTGGTTCCCGAACCGACTCTTAGGTCATTGCAATAGGTCTTCCTTCATCCGACGAGGGCGCCCCGGCCCCGTTTCGTCGCCGGGCCCCCTCCACTTGCCTTCTCACGGGATGTCGATCCTCGTCACGCGATCCTCGCAGAGAAAGAGAGACCCACTGGGTCCGCGTGTCGCCTGTGCGTGTCCCACAGCCTGGCCCCTCCATTCCTTCGCCGATTACTCGCCTGCTTCGCACTGGCCCCGCGCATGCGTTCGTAAACCAGTGTTCCACGGTTTCCAAAAATATCAAACGATACTTTCAACCTTGCGAACCTTACTTTACGATACCTGTAGCGAATTATATTTGTAACTCGATATTTATAAGGATCAACGCGATCCCTTGTACTTTACCTGCTTCCAGAAATTGGCTAACAAACGAACGAATATTCACCTGTACCCTGAAAAAGAAATTTCTTGTCAGAATTTTAATATGTAATTGCCACTGAAAATTCTTCACATTTATGTAAAACAGTATGTTTACCGATTAATGAGAATTCTGCTTCGCATGATTAAATTGTCGTCAAACTTTTGTTAATTTTTGAAGAAATTCGTAAATCACGAGACCACGAATTTTTATATATTCGGCATAGGCATCGTGATTATTGGTACAGAAATATTCCTGCGTTTCGTTATAAATTTACCAATTTCTGTCTCGCGTTTCAACTGGAAGATGAAATATTCGTTTACGAATACACCGCATCCGCGGGGTCAATGTAGCATAATTTCTCCGTGATGTGTATGATAGCGTGTGGGAGACGCACGCGACGCGCGTCCCGGACGAAGGGAAGACCAAGAAAAGGTATCGAATATTCGGGTTTGACCGATTGTTCTTCCTGGAAGGACGCAGGCGGGCAGGTCTAGAATGAAAATTCGCCGCGATGATAATTGTGATATTTTTCCTGGAAATTTTATCGAATTAATTAGACGAATTGGCCGCGGGCCGACATTGCAGTTGGGCAGGAATTTCACTGGGGATGACGATGGGCCGATGAACAGCGACGAAGCGTGACGCGTGGATAAAGGGTTGGAGAAAGGAACGCGACGAAAGGAAAGCCGGAAAGAAAGGGGAACGCGTGGAAGCAAAATTTTATACACCAATTATTATACTGCCAGATTAAAAAGTAAATCGATGAAACGAATAAAAAATTATACGAAAAGAAAAAGCACAAAAAAAAGAAAAACCGAAGGTGCAAAGCGAAGAAGAAAACGATCGCAAGCGTCGTTTCGTGCTTCTTGTACGAGAAAATACAACACACACACACACCACAGAGCCAACCTTCGTGTGTGTCGGGCTCAGGCTGCTTGCCGGCCTCCTCTCGACGACCTAAGACCGTGTTCGCCGACGAACGGAAAAGAAAATGCAAAAAGAAAACGAAAAAAAAAACAAAAATAAAATAAAAATGGATCTGCGTGCACGAAATTTCGTCAGTGACAGATAGGCTTCGCAGTTGAATCGATCGATCGATTGTACATACCATAGCCGCGAGGTCCTCCGTCCCGGGCTCTCGCTTTCCGGTTATATTCGTATGAGAATGCGTGCATGTAGGAAACTAAAAGAGAAAAAAAGAAAAAAAAACAAAATGAAAAAGAAACATAAACTCGCGTGGCAGATTTTTCATCGTCGAGCAACTTCTGTCTATCGCGAAACGCTTCTACTTTTAACCGACATCGTCAAACGTGCTCCCTTCTCGCTTCAAACACGAGTCGCGCTTTCCTCGATAGATGAAGAGGACGGTACCCGATTAAAAAGAAAAAAAAGGGAAAAATTAAAAAAAAAAGTAAGAAGAAAAAAACGAAATAGAAACGTGCAGAGAGAAAAGGAAATTATTTGATCTCGATGACCTTTGCGACGTGGCAAACCGGGAATCCCCGACGCGTCCGAGTCCCTCGGCGGCCATATTGGAAAATGGCCGCTCCGAAAACGTGGCGATGGATCTCGACGTCTCGTCGGCAAATCCGAGGGATTCTCTATCGTTAATCATCGCGTGATTATTAACGCTATTGTTACTACCGTTTCTGTCGACAAGCCTCGCACGCCTCTTGATACTGTAACGGGAGATAAATGATTAAGGGTATATCTCAAAGACTCTAGGTACACGCATAGCAACGTCCGTTCGTTTCTTTTCGTCTTTCTTGTTTCGTATTTACTATAACGAGCGGGGACAACCGCGAATTCCCGTCATGTCGATCGATACTCAGTTTCTCTAGTACAATTTCATTCTGTTTTCCTCTCTTTATCGCCGCACACGCGTCTTATCCTCGTTTGCTCGCGTAATTTCACCGTTCACATCAATCTCGGATCGATATTTAATATATACATCTGTATATGATAGTTGTACGTATATTAACGTTCTAAGCGCATACATATATATATATATACCCGTTCTATCGCGATAGCGTTACTCGAAATTAAGCAATTCGTCGAACAAACAAGACGAAACGAGGAAGAGGTTAGGTACGGAGAGAGCGGGAACGGAAGAAAAAAAAACGAAAAAAAATATATATATATAGAGAGAGAGGGGAGGAGAGTCAATTACGGAGTTCTTTCTTGCGCAGAACCGCGTCGGAGAAGAAGAATCACGAAATCAGACCAATTATATGTATATGTATATCATTACCGTGACGGTATTACGTTTTCGCGACACGCGCATGCGCATAGGATCGAGTATTTCCGAACCAAAGACGCCGTCGTATCTCCAGTTTATCGAAGTTCGATCGATCCGTGGGGTTCAGGGTATCCTCCGGGGGGTCGCCTGGAAATTATCGTTGCACCACGAGGATTGTATAAAAGCTTACGAAATACTTTCTATCTCACCGTTATCCTGTTTTCCGATGCGTTGTCTACGTACTTAGAGCAAGCCCACCGTTGTTTCTTCGATCGGCCCGGCCAGTAGAGGAAACGGCATCCCCGAGTCCCATTACCGAACCATATTCCTCGGAATAGTGCTTCGATGGTGGTACCGGAGGAGCAGGAAGCGTTGATCGACGTGGCCGTGCTCGATCGAACACGAGGACCCGGTTGAGCCCGTTGATCCTGAAAAGAAAAGGGGAAATGAGTAGGGGAACGATTAATCGAAGGTAAACGATCACGACGAGTGATCTAAGGATTTCGTAGAGGGAAATTGAACGGAGGATGATTCATCGTGAACCGGTTCGCGGGACGCTTTTTCTCTTGAGAGAAAAGGACAAAATGGAGGAAAAAAGGGTAAATAGGAAATGAAAGTGGAGAGCATGCTCGCGTGCATAGGATAGAAAGTAATTGCCGTCCAAATAGGTTCCTTCTTTCGAATCAAAATTCTCGAGCCAAGATGGCGTCTTGGCGCGCGCTTTTCCGGGAAACCCGCAGTAGAAACGCCGAATAATGCTACTGGTGAAAGGAATATGGCGGTCAGGGGACACCTGCGTGTCGTTGGTGCTGATAAATACACGCACCGAAGACGGTTTAGAAAGATCGAAGTCTCGATCACGAGTTTCGATCGTTGGGGATATTTTCGCGTGGATGAAAAGCGAATGAGGAAATTTTTTTAGAAATATTCTTCTTATTGTCTCTTGTGACGAGCCAGATCGTTGGGATTTTCTAGAAGTGTAAGTTTTAGGAAATATTTTAGTCGAAGATTCGTTAAAAGTGTTTTAACTTTTGTCTGTTTGAAATTATTTAACGTTGTAATTTGTACGTGTACTTGACGACCAAAATGGCGACTGAGTATTCCTTTTATTTTTTTTTCTTGGTGTGTGTTTTACCCCGTATATTGTAACGTCTGTTTTCTTTTTTTTAGACTGAAAATGAATTTTAAATTTTATTCCAAATTTTAGCGATGTTTTTGACGTGGTACAAGGATAGTCACTGTTCTCACGTTTTGGAGATCGTTGTATTTGTTTATGTATACGTTTGGCAGACGTGATCGTATAACGAATTTTTAGGAATTTTGATAGATCGATTATTTACAATGTACGACGGATCGAGTAGTATTATTCGGCACGTATCGGTCGAAATTCTGATTTTTCTCTTGGAGAGATGAAAGAAAAATATTATTCGAAACAATGAGCAGGATCCAGAAAGAAAAAAACTTGATTTTACCGTTATGCCTTTGAACAGAGAACGCATTCAAATGAACCGAAGCCGGATCCTTTCTTGCGTGGAGTGTCGAAAGCGAAGAGAATTTTGGCGGGAATTCAAACACAGGCACTACGTGGATAATCGCAGTACAAGGTTAACGATTGTGCCATCTGAAATGCCAAATATTCTCTGGTACTTTTATCTTAAAGTAAAAATTCGAAGAAAAAATAAAAAACAAAAAAGCGCAAAAAAAAGAGGGGAAAAAAAATAAGGAAGAATAACATGGAACGAGAAACAGAATAAAAATGGAGGGTCATCTGACGCGTGAGAAACGTTTGAACGCAGAGAGAACGGAAAAAGAGGGAGAACTTAAAAGATTCGTAACGGAAGCTTTACAGACTTAAAGATACCTCAGGTTTATTTCTTACGGAAACGATGGTGGGCCATTTTGATCGAAGTACTATAAATCTGCCTCGGATTGAAGAGAGATAACCTCGTTTAAACGCAGGGCACACGCATCTTTCTCGCTCCGATGAAAATGGCCGACCGATAGGCACTGAAACTATATTTCATACGTATCTTCTCGCGAAGTAAACGTCAATATTACTTAGTCGAATTCGTTGCATCGAGTCGAGGACTCGTTCGTTATTATTGTAAAGTATATGTAATCGCATTTAATAGATCGCCTGAAAACGTTCAAACGCCGAGGACAAACCTGGGCCCAATAATTTTCTGCCGACTATCCTCCAACGACAATATGAATAAATAGAGAAAAAAACGTCGTTTTCGTGTCTACAGCGTTGCCAGAACGGGTGTACGGGCGTTACTCGATCGGACAATGGGTGGCGGTCGAATCGCTTTAACCTTGGATTTTCTTCAAACGCGACACTCACGGCTCGTCTCGCGAATCGACGTATCGTTGAAATCTCGTGCAGCGACGACTGAAATAAGGCGTGTAAAAAGAGTGCTACACCATTGGCAACACTGTACGGCCGCGATAGCTGAGCATAGTCCGCGCGCGTATTAACCGAACATTCGATCGATTCGACAAGCGAGCCAATTAGGGGCGATCAAAATCCTATATTGAATGACAGCAGAGACAGTGATCGCTCCGAATAATCAATCCATGGGCTCTGTGTCCCAGCACGATCGCCGAGATTCGGAAGGGAAAAACAACGTCGCAGAGAAATTAAATGGCCGGGATTATCATACCAAAACGATCTCATATCGATTTAATGAAATGCAATTTTTGATCGTGCGGTCGACCGGGGGCGCCGTTCACACACACAGACACACACATACACGCACGCCGGGTCAAGCGGCGACATCTTGAGTAAGAGCGACGAAATTCATTGCATGTACCTGTTTATAAAATCGTCGCCGACCGATGCGACCAACGCGGGCAGAAGGCAAGACGTATTTATAAATTGATGTCGAATCAATTAAAGCGGAATCCTTTTACCGCTGGTCGCCTTTTAGGCCGCGTTTGCACTTGGTCGATCGCACAAAGCAAAGACATATTATTAATAGTATATTATATTATTATATTATATATTATTACCATCGTCATCGTCATTATCATCATTTCTAAAAAAGAAAACTATTAATGAGCCTCACTAACGATAACAATTAAATGATTGTTAAAGAAGAAAGAAACAGTGAAAAAGGAAGAAAAATGCGTTGTAAAGAACTTGTTAGTATTACGCAATATCCCATGCATCGATATATGTACCGATGGATTATGTTATCGATCTATCCAAAACACACCAAGCTGATCAGAAAATCCGGAAGAGGGCTGGAACGGCGTGCAACCAGCGACTCGTTAAATCTGTATATCCGTATATCGCTGCAGAAGCTTCTATTTATCAAGAATCTAAAGAAGTGTATCGTAGGTTAACCTAAAAACTGCTGTGGTTATGTCACATTATACGTCACCTGGATAATTCGAATATACCGACCGAGGAACGAGCTGCAAACTGGACGAAAACATTGAAATTACACTGCAGTGTAAATTTCATCGTCGGACTCTTTGTAGTAATAAACTTGCCTGACAAAAGCCGTATCAACTTATTAATTCATCTTAGTCCGTTAAGTTCGTCAGTTCTTTCGTTCATTGACACGTAAATATTCGCCATCGCGAGATATATTAACACGCCAGATGGCGCAAACAAAGTTATCGCGTTTGTTAAAATAAATCGTAAGGCTTGCAAATTTACGCATGCGTACAAATACACGTATGTAATACATACGTGATTACAGTCGATTACATTGTGGTGATTATCGTTGAAAATTTATAATTTTGCTTTTTTCCCTTTATCTTTTCCTGT